ACATATAAGATATATACAAACTAAATAGAAGCTAATATTAAGAGGAGAAAGTACTAGCAGTTCAGGCAGGAATGGAACTAAGAAAAGCCTCCTGCAGAAATATGGAAGATTGTGGGCTAGATAGCAAGAGCTCACTATACCAAAGAAAACCACAATACTTGTTTCTGTATCTATGGCTTCATGAAAGCATCTTCTACTTGCTAGTTATGAGACTCTGGACAAGTTACAATCTATCTGTGCCTAAATATCTTCATTTGTCTAAAAACAAACAAACAAACTAGTATTTTCACCGCTTATCTCAAAGAGTTGCTGTGAGGGCCAAATGAGATAGTGCATGTACATATTAAAGTATAATGTTAATTTAAACAATTTTCCATTAGTGACTTGAAACATGCCTCATGATCTTCTTCTTTAACTCATCCCTTACCACCATCATCAGGAAATTCAATAATCATGTTGAAGCTTTTCTAATAACGAGTATATAGTTCCTCAGCATCTTCAGATAGTGTGATCTCCACCTTCACTTCAACCATATATATTGTCAGTCAAACCTTTAACTTCATTATTGCATTGCATCGATCATTTATAAGTTCCTCTACTTCATCATTTTTAAGTTCCTGAACTTTGAAATTCTACTCTCCAGTCAGTATACTTTGTATCCTTCCACCTGTTTGGTATTCTTACTCAATTAAAAATGTCTCATTATAACCTCCATGACCGGAGTCTCCTTTCATGTTTTGTAGTTTATCACCCTCATTCTGCCTGTACTTGCTTCTGTATTCTTCTTTGACCCCATGGTGTACTTCTTTATTATTTCACTGTGTAACATTTAGAATCCTTTGTATCTTGACCTTCTATTGTTCCACACTAGGTTATTTCTGTGTTCCTATTCTTGAGGTCTCAAGCACCACTGAGGGAAATCACAAAATTATTTGTGAAATCAATTTCATTACCTATAGATTTCTAGTCATAACCCTATTGGACCAACATTGCTATTAACATTACCAGAGACACGATGTGGGGGGGGGCAGTACTTTTCTTTCTTTCTTTCTTTCTTTTTGTAGGCAGTTGGGGTTAAGTGACTTGCCCAGGGTCACACAGCTAGTAAGTGTCAAGTGTTTGGTCTGAGTCCAGATTTGAACTCAGGTCCTCCTGACTTCAGGGCTGGTGCTCCATCCACTATGCCACCTACCTGCCCTGGGACAGTACTTTTCAAACACAAGAGATGATGAAAAGAAAGTCAGGCAAGAACAGAACAAGGCATAGTCAGTAGTTTATATTGTATAGAAAATAGAGTATCTGGAAGTGAGTAGGCTGTAATGGTAAGATCATAGATTTAGAGCTGGAAGGGACCATAGAGGCCATCAGGTCCAACCTCCTAATTTTACACATCAGGCAACTGATGCTGAGAGATTAAGTGGCTTGCCTAGAATCACAGAGTTAATGACTGTAATAGTATTTGAACTTGGGTCTTCTTGATGCCATTTCCAGCCCTCTCTCCACTGTACCACATTTTTGTTTCTGAAGTTGGGGCCAGATTGTGGCCAAGATGAAGAGGTTATGTTCCATTAGTTAGGCAATCAGAAGGTTTGTGAGTAAGGGAGTCATCAATTAGGAAGATTATCTGGGCAGTAATATAAAATGCAGAAAGGGGTTAACTCAGGAGAGGCAAATCAATTAGGTAACTATTATAATGGTCCAGAATAGAAGAAGCCTGGTTAAAGGCCTAAACTTAGTTTGTGGCAATATGAGAAGAGAAGGGAACAGATTTGAGAGACATTGATAAGGTAAAATCAATTAGATTTGGAAACTGGTTGGATATGGGGAATGGAGAAAGAAATGTCAAATATGAATCCATGATTTTTAATCCAAGTGACTCCAGGAAGTTGATGGAAATAAAGAAGTTGATAGGAGAAAAATATTTGAGGGGACAAGGATATTATCAGGTTAGTTATAGACGTGTTGACTATGCCATCAGTATGTCTAAATGAAGCTTATGGTTAAAATAGATGTATAGGGTTATCTGTGAATTTCTTATGTTTACCTCTCTGTTTCACTCATATATCTCCCACCTGTTTGTCACAGATAATTGAGAGTTTGCTGTCATTTTAACTGCATTATCCCAATGAAAATGTGATGCCAAAACATAAAGTATAGCATCTCTAATATGCAATAGGAAAAATTTATTTTCATTGAATTAGATCTCATTAGCCTCTTTTTCCATAAGAGCTTGTGAATTAACAGGGGATAGTTATCTATCTAATTTAAAAATTATGTTGGGCTGCTAACCTCCATACAGTAATTCAAGGTTCATGATTTCTATATTCTATTACTGCAGAGAGGTAGAAAGTTGTACTTCTTTGGTTAAGATATCAGCTCATGAAAAATGTAATTGTCATAAAAATACATACTGGTGTGTATAGCAGGTCCTCAGAAGAAATTAATTAGTGGATATAATCAGAATCAGGCAGCAATTTAAAAAGTAATTTATTGAACTCTACTTCTTTCTAATGATACTTTTTTCATTAATTTCCATTTACTCATGTGGTAACCCTACAACCTTTACTGTAGAACAATGATGGTATTTTTAGCCTAATAATACCTAAAGCAGTAAGAAATAGAAATAACTTGAAGATTAAGGATGCTATTTTTACTTTTGTGTAAGACTAATTCTTCAAGTCATATGGAATTTTGGCATAGTTAATAATTTGGAGAAGAAAAAATATCTGTGCCAGGTTGGACTTGGAAGTATCAAGAATGGAATAACTATAGTTGGTAATGAATATTCTTTATTTCATTCATTCAACAAAAATTGAGAATTTTGCTAGGCCCCCTTATTCACCTCATAGGTTAAATTTAATTATCCCATGATTATTTCAGTTGTATTTGCTTATGGCATTTTAAGTTGATTCTCTGGTACTTTCCAGGTCAGCAGGTTTGAGATTTTCATTTACAACAGCACAAATATAGAATCAGGTGCCAAAAGGATGAGCAATTGAATAATCACTCTCAATTATCCATAATAAATGGGTGGGAGGTAAGAATTGGAATAGAGAAGCAAACAAAAGAAATTCATGGAGTGCTCTCTTTAATATTATTTTAACCATAAACTTCAAATTAACATCTTGCTGGCATGTCGAACTTACACCTGTAACTGAACTGATAACTGTTACTGTATTGTAACAAATATTATTTCTTCCTTACTCCTTTACTTTTTATTTTTAGAATAAAGCACAAAACACAGTTCGTGAAATATTTGTTTTTACTTCTTCTGATTGTAAAAATGATAACATAAAAGTAAAACTTAGTTTTCAGATATGTCTATTCAATTTAACAAACTTTTTTAAGTGCCTCCTATATGCCAAAGTCTTTAATAGCAGCAGACAAATGCAAAGTCCAAATACAAAGAGGTGACTGTTATTATAGTTTAGGAGATTGAAAAATCATTGGCTAATGCTATTAAGTAGGTGCATTCTTTTCGGAGGAAACAGTCACTAATACGTAAGTAAAATATAAGGAAAGTAATTTCATGGTAGATGGGAAAGCACTAATACCTGAGGGGATCAGGAAAGACCTCATATAGAAGAAGGTAGCACTTGAGATGAGTCTTGAAGAGAACTAAGGACTCCAGGATGGAAAGTTAATGAGAGAAAACATCATAGCTATCCAAATTGACCTAATTTATCACTGATACATCGGGATACATAAATAAATGGTATGGGACCAATCATGCTCGTTAGATCATAATTACCTAGAAAACACCTTAATTTCTAAGACTGAGACTACAAAGCTATATTTGCTTAATTGATCTGACCATCATTCCAACAATAATTCTATATGCCCCCTCCCTTGACTGGCTAAACTCTTTGACAAAACTATCAATACCAAGTGCCTCTACTTTCTCTCTTCTTACTATCATCTTTTTCATATTAAATTCTTTTTAAAAATAATTAATTCATTTATTTTTAATTTTCAACATTCACTTTCATAAGATTTTGAGTTTTAAATTTTCTTTCCCTCTCTTTCCTTCCCCTTCCACAAGACAGCATGTAATATGATATAGGCCTTAATAAATGTTTTTTTTTTTTTTTTACTGACATTAACAGTTACCCTAATGACCCAAATTCCAAAAGCAACTGCAGTCTCCAGGTTGAGGCAGTAGGTAAATATTTCTGCCATGAGGCACAGAATAATGAGAGTATATAGGAGCAATAAGAGCATCTATTTTTAGTTTTTCTAGGAGAAAAATGGAAAAAAAAAATTGCCCTTATCACTGCTGTTTAGCTTTGTCTTCTATTTTGGAGTAGTAGGAGTTGGAATGTGGCCTATATCTCCTATCAGGATAGAAAGATAGTGTGGCATAGTGGAAAGAGTAAGGCAATCTTGAGTCAATTAAGCTGTGTTTGAATCCTATCTCAATCAAATGTGATTACAGATAATAGCCTCTCAGAGACTTGGTTTCTTCATTAGTAAAATGGGGAGAATAAGAATTTTAACAACTATATCAGAGTTGTTGCTAGGAAAGTGATTTGCAAAATGCAAGTAACTATATAAATTTGTTATTTTTAATAATAGAGACTGAATTCTTAGAGCTTTCCAAATTCCACTTTGGTTTTAAGGCAGCTTCTTTAGCCATTGACTCTTTATTTTGTTACCTAACCAACTCTAGTTTGCGGATCTGTGATCTTTATGGCTACTCTATCCATCCAAGTTACCAGTAGGCTTCATTCTGTAATTTTTCCTTTTGAAGAGTCTCTTTTGCATTTGTCAAATGGAAGGTGAGACATTGTAGCCATTCAACATTATCCAATTTTAAAAGAGATAGGTACTTTCAGCACAAGATCTCTTATCCCTGCCCACCCCATGCCCTAAAAGATTTTTATCTCCCTAGCTATTTCACCATGGAACCATCTTCATCATTTCATTATTCTGTGATTTTCATGTTAGTATTTTTTTTAACATGAAGATCTTTTGATCCATTGTATGACTTAACCTTTAGGATGCGCTGCCGGCATGGAAGCATCCTTGTGAAGTCAGTTTGCTATGATCATATAGCTAGTCTCTATCAAGAGACAGAACTTGAACCCTTGTTCTGCTGATTCCAAGGTTGGCTCCCTACCTACCATGTCTCATTGACTCCAAAAATGAAACGCAACAATAAAATGGTATTTATTCCACAAATCACACATAGATATTGTTCTTATTGCTTTATAATCAGGATTTATTGCACTATATCTGTGTTGTCATTGGGACAAAAAAAAGTTCAGTTTTATTTCTTACAGCTCTTTTGTGACCAACTATTAATCAAAACCTACTATGTTACTATAACCAGAAATATAATTTCTAAACATATTTCTAAAATATGTTACTGAAAAAACTATGTTATAGAACATTTTAAAATTACAATACCATCCATGTCAATATTCGACTATTTTTTGTGGATTTCTTCATCTTTTAATACAGTGATGACTAACTAATGCCTATTGAAGGTATTCACTTCAATGTTTTTGTCTTTATTTACCATAGTATTTGTGGAATTCAGCATCTTGAGCGAGCAGGAAAGAAACTGACTCTCTTTGACTCCCTTTATTTCTGCATTGTGACCTTTTCTACTGTGGGCTTTGGGGATGTCACACCTGAGACAGCGCTCTCCAAGCTTTTCGTTGTCATTATGATCTGTGTTGCTCTTGTAGTCTTACCCATACAGGTGAAACCTAACTCTCTTATATTTTATAGAGCTGTGTAAATTGTTATAATGGCTCACTTTTTATTTATCCTAAAATTTTTACTAAGAAATAAAGACCTTTGTTTTATCTGGCCAAATAAAAAATGCCTAAAAAATGTTGTCATATCTAATAATTGAAACAAGGATAGGTGACAATGTCTTTTGTTATTCAATAATATCAAAACCTATATTTACTTTTCAGGAACAAGAAACTTCCTATTTTTTATAACATGTTTTCAAAAAATCTTTTCCTTCATATCATATGAAAAAATATTGAATTTAATCACTCCTTGGGATAAAATACCAGCTTTTGAAAGTATTAGTACCCTGGCTTCCCAAAAAGGGAAAACAAAAAGGAGGGAAATCTATACTACCAACTTTATGTTCAGCAGACATTTAAATTTTTACATTGTTCAGTGAATGAAATGTAACCTTGAAGAAAATATTCATATATTATTCCATCAAAAGGATAAATAAGAAGTTGTAGATAGTAAACTGGACTTAGTATCAGGAAGATCCGGGTTTAAGTTCTGTCCCTGACAAATAGTGACTATGAGATTCTAGGAAGGTCATTCGTGAGCAAGTGTCCTACATTTTAAGTATATACTAAATCTCTCATGTTCCCAAGCAACTCTCTGAAAATCAAGGTTATGGAACAGGTATTAGTAAATAGTGCTTCCTCATTGTGAATGCCCTGCTCCAATGAAATTAGAGGTCTTGTCCAAAATCAAGTTTACAAAAACAATAACAATTTACCTCTGGCTTGGAGCTGAGGAGGGTAGAGAAGAAAAAAGAATATTTACTGGAATAAAAGTGAAAGCATCCACCAACTCTACAAATAAGGAAGAATATGTCTTTTCTGTGTATGAATACAGTGGGCCCGTCTAACTCTCTGCCATTGCCTTGTGCCATATACCTGTATAACAGAGGTTGGGCTGTGCAGAAACGTGCTGAAACAAGCCACTGGCATTTACAACCCCAGTGCATTGGTGTAGTTCACCTACACTTTAAATTTATATAGGAGACTTCTTTCTAACCCTTTTTCCCCCTTCATATTTTGAGAAGTAGAAAAGTAAGGAAAGAGGGGGATCTTCCAGCTATTAAGTAGCTGGAATAGGACTGTGTATAATGTTGAGTATCTTTTGTAGGTAGATATGAGTTACATATACCTGGAAAATATGGGAGGATTCAGAGATTTTTCTTTTGACGCTGCCCAAAATGTTAGATTCAATGCAAATAATCATATGGAAAGTCAAGTTCAATCTTTTAATATTTGCTGTCACTCTATTCATTGTGCCAGGTTGTATAGTAACGTGATTTTTCCTATTATATTTTGGTATTATATAATATCATTTACTGGGCAGTTAGGTGGCACAGTGGATAGAGTGCCAGGCCTGGAGTCAGAAGACTCATCTTCCTGAGTTCAAATCTGGTGTCAAACACTTACTGGTATTTACTGGGCAAATCACTTAACCCTGTTTGCCTTAGTTTCTTCATCTCTAAAATAAGCCAGAGAAGGAAATGGCAAACCATTCCAGTGTCTTCGCCAATAAAACCCCAGATTGGGTCACAGAGAGTTGGACATGACTTATAAGTGACAAAACAACAACAATAGCATTCAGTAGGATAAATCGTGCAACCTAACATAGTAAATAGAGTCATGCCCTTGGAATTAGTAAGACCAGAGTTTAAATTCTGCCTCTGACAGTCAGCCCCTTAACTATAAACACTGCCTCTGAACAACTCTCTAAGAGAATAAGCTTTAGACAAGTTGCCCATCTACAACATGGAGTGACTTTTCACACAAGAAGTATCCTAAAGTGATGAACTCATAAGTCCAGCTAGAAAAAACCCAAACAATAACTGCTCTCCTGAAAAGAAAAATACAACCAATCAACAAACTACAACAACAATAATATAGGGTTTTTTAGAACCTAAATATTCTAGAAGAGTATTTGAGCAAAGATTTTATTTACTAATCACTTTTCATGTGAAAGCAGCATTGCTAAAAGGCAGCAAAGATAATTCAAATCTCAGGAATTTCCATTTAAGAAAGAGTAAACATAATGAAACACTAAATGCATTACATCAATCTATATTTCAAGCCTGACATTCCTTATTCATATATAAAAATTCATTATAGTTTGAACAGCTGGCCTTTTTGTGGATGGAGAGACAGAAGTCTGGTGGAAACTACAGTCGTCACAGAGCTCAGACAGAGAAGCATGTTGTTCTGTGTGTTAGCTCCCTGAAGATTGATTTACTTATGGATTTTTTAAATGAGTTCTATGCTCATCCAAGACTACAGGTACCTTTGATGTAGAATACTTTTTCTACTGTATTAAACAAAGTAAAATAATAAAAAATTAAATTAGAAATTGATGTAGTATACCTTCTGGAAAGTTGTCATTTATATGGATGAGTTTAGGAAGGAGTGAATAAAGACACTACAGTTATGATCAGTGGCACACATAAAATAATGCATCCATTCATTGTACTTTATGCTGCCTTCTGTAGCTAAAAAGACAAGACAGATGGAATTATGCTATCACTACAGAGAAAGAGCTTTCTGTGAATTAAAAGTTGTCTCTTTCTCTCTAGATCAGGCTTAAGTAATATTTTCATGAAACATTGGGTTTTAATATACAATGATATAAACAGTAAAATTTGATCCTTTTTACTATCATCTGCTTATTTGAGTTCTATGAAATTTTAACAGGTGTTGCTAAGAGAGAAATGTCAGGCAATTTGTACTTAGTTATAGAAGAATGCAAGCCATATCTTTGTGATAGAGTGTTATCTAGAATGTTTGCACTAACCACATGGATTTAGGACATGTACAAAGCTAGTCCAAGAGCCACAAAGTTTCATGATTGTATGTCTTTGTTTATGCACATAGAATTTAGCCCTCCTTGTCACTGTGGCCATGACACATGGCAACTTTCCATTTCTGTTGAGGGCTCCTTAAAATTCAAATTAAAAATATAATGTGGAGGTTTAGCATCATTGAATACTGATGACTTTGAGTAGTGTAATTGGCTTATATCAAGAGATAAAGACACCGTTGTTAAAAAAGTGAACATAATTCATAGCAGAAGATCTATGAGTTCAGGCTTTGTGAACCATTTCCTGTTCTTAATAGTCTTGTTTATTAAGTGTTAAGTAAAATGATGTAAATATTTGGGATACTATTCACATAATTATGTATTTATTTGAACAAATCCACATTTATTTTCTGTACTTTTTCCTTGTCACATTCATGCTGGGAAATCTGCCAACTATGCCCATGATGTACTGTAAAAAGGATCATCTGGGGGGAGCAAAATAAAATGAGGGAGAGAGAGAGAGAGAGAGAGATTTGGAAGTTAATATTTATAAAACCTGACCCCTAAGATAAAATCAGATAAATTTTCTTTTTCAAATTCTAGACAGTATCCACAAAGGCAAATTCTCTTAGAAGCCCTTGATAGATGCAGCCTAGGAAAAGTAGGTGACCATTTATCTAGGGGATTGCTATTCCTGTGGCTAGACCTGCTGGTTATTTGAATGCAGTGAATGAAACTAATCCCACAGTGATGAATTTATGCCATTATAAGATATGAGACTACATTATAATATATTGATTTATAGTATCCTATAATCATGTAGTAGTAATTAATAAACAGGAATTTCTCATGTATCGTGCAATCTCAATGCCCTACATGTTCTGTTTAGCAAAGGTACCACTGGAGGTAGCAACATTTATAACATAAGCAACATTCCTCTTTAGCTATGAAAGTATTATTACATTGTCTTCTGGAATGACATTTTAGTCCTTTCACATGACACAGCAAAATAACCTACATTCTTAGAGGACTTTAAGATTTGCAAAATACTTTCCTCACAACACCCCATCAAGGTTGTGTAAGTGCAATTTTGCCCATTTTATAAGAGTAAACTAAACTGAAGGAAGGTTAAATGATTGGCCCATGATCACATGTTTTGTCAGCAATGGAGCAGGGATTTGAACCTCTATCTCCAAATTCACATTTCTGGAGCTTTTTTCTTCCTCATTCACAACTCTTTTAATAGGGTTTCTTAACCTAGGGCTCATGGACCCCTACTGGGTATATGGATAGATTTCAGGGAGTCCATGAACTTCAATGAGTTCCAAAAAATATCTCCATTTTTATTAACATCTAGCTGAAATCAAACATTTTTTTCCATTATTAAAAAAATTCTAAGCAATTCATAGAGTTCATGACTTCCAAAGGGGTCCACACAAAAAGTTAAGAACCTTTACTTTAAAGGCATTCTTGTTTTAGAACTCTTATTTCTATTTGTTTGTTTTGCCATTTTACATTTTTGGAATTACCACTTTTACCTATGTGTGGGATATGATCAGAAAATAAACCCTAGTACTTATGTAAGGTTAAGGTCAAAAGATGAATTTTATTAATAGTGTATAATGTTAAAATGAGCTAATATTGCATTGCTAAGAATATAAAACACATGTAAGCATGCCTTGTGTTATTTATAACTTTTGGCAATAGGTATATGTTGAACAAGGAGGTTCACATGGGATTACCTATTGAGAAAGCTAATCATAATGTATTGTTCTGGGTAAGTGGTGAGAAACATTTTTCTATCACATATATAGATAGAAAGATAACTTCTCTGTTTCTATGTCTCTTCCTGACTCTCTCTCTCAATCACTAATAATATGGAGATAAGTCAGATATATCATGTTTATATGGATAGAATAAATCTTTAATTTGCATTTTATGACATTATAAAAGCATCTTCATTATAAATATGCCTTTTATCAGGATTTTCAATTTAACTAGTTGTCATCATTTAGAAAATTAATTCACCTAGATAGTACACACCAATTTTTTTTTATTTTCCTTCATGGACTTGTTTTTTTTTTTTTTTACAGGATTATTATGTGGTAATTTTATGTCCAACTGAAATAGATATTCAGGTTCGAAGAGTCCTTCAGATTCCAATGTGGTCCCAAAGAGTCATTTACCTACAAGGTTCAGCCCTGAAAGATCAGGATCTATTGAGAGCAAAGTAGGTATTTTTTGATTTTTGACATTTTTATTATACTGTCTAATATTCAATCACTACTATGTGGTGTTGCAAACATTAGCCTGATCCTATTCATTGGAAAATCCCTCATTTACCTTAAGAATTGTGTGTCCTGTAAAATTCTAAAAGAAGTACCAGCATGTCCCAAGTTTTTATATAACCCAGAGAGCTAGCGAACTCTTTTTTTCCAGTTCCTCCTCTTTATAGGTCGTAATGCCAATGTTGTTAGTATAAGGGGTATAGACAGATTATCCTATTAGAATACCTCTGAGGGAAAAAAAAAGAATATTTCTGAACTTGAAACCTCAATGGAAATGCCACTTCTACTTTGAATGTTTTATATTTTCTTGAACCCTAGGCTCAAGACTATGATAAAATAGTATCCACCACAGAAACAAACAGACTGATATGCTTAATTGTATACAGAGTTGTCCATTTTTTAAAAAATCTCATAGGCATAGTGATATGAAAGAGAAATGGATCAGAGCTGTGATTTCATTGATACAGGAATTTCCAAAGGGAGAAAAGTCCTATTACTGAAGATTTGCACCTCAGAGACTTAAATAACCAAAAAAAAAAAAAAAAAATACATTGAACACTGAGAGACCCTTGCCCAGAATCACACAACCAGTATATGTTAGAGGTAGGATCTGAACTAAGGTCTTCCTGGTTTTGAGACCAGCTTTCTACCCACTATACCACATTGCCTCTCAAAGGCATAATATCAATAAAGAATAATAAAATTTTTAAATGCTTTTAAACAACTACCGCATTAAAAAATGTACCTATAGCTTCTGCCTCACTTAAGTAGTCTTTAACCAGTCTAAAGACATGTTCTGGTCCAAGAGTTTTAGGTCACTATTCTAGATGTTTTAGCTCACTCTCAGTAGCTCCCCTCCCCTCCCCTCCATCGTTTTTTCCCCTGATGATACATTTACTAAACAGAAACAGGTATGGTTTGAAAAAATATGATCATCTACAAACTTTGAAATTCACCTTAAGCTTTGTTTCTTCTTCTTATCCTTTTCTATTTAACAGATTTCAGTGTTGAAAATTTTGTTAAGTATTATAGAGGCTACAACATTTATTGTCACACTGATAATTATTGTGAAAGTTTTGTAATTAAGATAGGATTTTGTTTTCTAGCCCCTGGCAATGCCATGCAAGAAGAATGCTGGCATAGCATAATTACCTTATATAATCAGACAAGTAGTGATTATTTTTTTAGATTTTTTTTGTTAAAATACTTTCAAATTACTGAATATTTTAGTTCAACAAGGTTTTATTGAACACCAAGTGTTTGACATTGTAGTAAACATTTTGTGAAATTAAAAAAAATAATATTGAACATTATTCAGGTCTACTAAGACTGTATGAATTTTGCCCAGATACAGTCAGTGGAGGGCTTGGATTCAAATCATGGGAGCCCCAGGACAGTAAGAACCACAACATGGTAGCAAAAATAACTTTTATTAAATGGAAATAAGCTCATGTTTCCAACAGCAAAAAGAAGCCCCAATTAATCCCCTACGAAACAGCCATGTATAGTTCTTATTAGTTATATTTCTTTGGGTAATTCATTTAACACTTCTGAGCCTCAGTTTCCTCATGTACATGTGAGGATCACACTAGATCGTATTTAAGAACTTTTAGCTCTAAATGCTATGACTTTGATTAAATCCATGATGCATTACCAGTGGCTGAAGTCACTGTGTAGGAGGCTTTTATAGAATGAGTCAGTAAAGTCTATAACAGTAGTTGTTCCCACAGTTGCTAGCAAGTTGTTTTTGGACAAGTCCCTTTGGAATTAAATGTTTCTTCACTGAATCTTCTGGGAGGCATACTTCTTTGAAGCCAATGAAAAAAGCCAAGAGGGAGTTCCGACTATTAGGATGGCTTAGAATACAAACCGTTTGTCTCTTGCTCAATAGTGTTGGCACTTTCTGAGAGTTTGGAAGGAATACTGAGGCTGTTTTGGTTTGCTTACCTTAATTAGAATGCTTAAACTTAATGCTTAAACTATTCTTGAAAGTGAAGTAAGACATTTTCTAAGCATAATTAATGGAATATACTTAATGGTGCACTAAATTTAAATTTCTTTAGCAGTGTGTGAGTGCATCAGGTGAGTTGATTATATTAAATATGATGCCATGGCATTGTAAAGAGAGAAACTTTTCCATCACTTTAATTATTACGTTGATGCCTTTTGGAACTGTATTAACTGGGGGTCATCCTCTAGGCCTTAATCTCACTACACATATTTTGCAATCAATTGCAAAATTGCAAAATCTTGTTTTTAATCTCTGTAGTCTCTTGTTAATTTTCCCTTCTCTCTACTCATATGGATCTTTGTAGTTCAGGTCCTTTTTGATCAGTCAGTCAAAAACATTTATTATGAACCTGTTATTTGTTAAGCATTATGCTAAAATGTAAAAGACAGTTTCTGCCCTCAGGGAATTTACAATCTAATGGGGAAAACAATATGCAAAGAATTCTGCACACACAAGATATGTACAGGATAAATTGTTGAGAATCAACAGATGGAAGACAGTAGTAGTAAGACAGATAAGGGAAAGGCTTCTTGTTGAAGGAGGTATTTTAGATGGGTCTTAAAAGAAGCTGGAAAGCCAGAAGGTAGAAATGAAGAGGGAGAGAATTCTAAGCACTGGGGAGAGTACATGAGTGGGGAAAAATAAGGTATAAGAAAAATAGAAAACTTGAAAAGGGGAAACATTTATAAAGACCTTCAAATGGCAATCAGAGGATTTTATATTTTATACTATAGACTACAGGCTGCCATTGGAATTATTGAATAGGAGAGTGACATGGTCAGAACTGGGCTTTAGGAAGGTCACTTTAACAGATGAATGGAGGATAGCCTGAAGTTGGGAGAGACTTAAGTCAAAGACCAAGCAACAGGCTATTATAATAGTCCAGGTATGAAGTGATGAAAACCTGTACCAAGATGGTGGCAGTGTTGTAGGAGAGAAGGAGTATTATATAAAAGTTGTTGTGAAGATAGAATTGACAAGACTTAGAAACAGATCAGATATGGTCGATCGAGAGTTGAGGATGACAACCTAAGCTTTGAGCCTGGGTAACTGGGAGGGTGGTGGTACCCTCCACAGTAATGGGAAATTAGAAAGAGGGGAGGGAGGAAAATTTTGAGTTCACTTTTGGACTTGTTGGGATTAAGACTGTCTACAGGGTATCCAGTCTGAGCAGCCCAATAAGCAGTTTGAAATATGAGTCTGGGGAAAGCAAAGCCAAGATAGTGGAGAAAGGGCAGGGATTTGCCTAAGCTCTCCGAAATTCCCTTCCAAACAACTTTAAAAATGAATTCTGGAACAGCTGAACCTAAGTCTTGCTGGATTAATTAGCTTCCTATTTGGCCTCATGGCCTCAAAACTTTCCCTATTCCTATCTATCCTCCACACAAATACCAAAGTTATTTTCCCTAAAGTTTAATCCTGACTGTGTGAGCCCCCTATTCAATAAACTCTAGTAGCTTCCTATTAACTTCAGGATCAAAAAAAGGAGGGGGCAAGAAACCAACTCACCAATCAATAAATGCCAGTAGCTCCTGATTATCTCTAGGATGAAATACAACTAACATTTAGAACTCTTCACAAATTGGCCCTTCCCATCTTTCCAGTCTTCTTATGGAGATGGCTAGTGGCACAATTGATAGAATATATCAGGAAGACCTGAGTTCGAATCTGGCCTCAGACACTGACTAGCTCTGTGATCATGGGCAAGTTACTTAACTTTTGTCTTTTTCAGTTTTGTTAACTATAAAATGGGAATATTAATAGTACCTACCTCCCCAGATTGTTCTGAAGATCAAATGTGATAGTATTTGTGAAAAGTGCTTAGCACAGTGCCTAACACATAGTAGGTGCCATATAAAAGCTTATTCTCTTTCTTCTCATCTTCCCTTCTTATACAGTACTCCAGTCTGTGGTCCAGCCATACTAGTCTGTTTACTATGCACACATACTGTGCTCCATCACTCTTTTCCCTGCCTTTGTTTTGGTTGTCCCCCTGGATTGGAGTGAGATTTTTCATCACTTTCACTTCTTGGAACCTCAGTTTTTCTTTAAGATAGTTTAAGTTCTATCTTCTACATTAAATCTTTCTAATTTCCTCCGGGTCTTAGTGCCCTACCTCTAGAGTTACCTGCCTTGTATTCAGTTAGTATATATTCTCTTATCTACTTACATTTGTCCACATATTCCCTGTTAGAATAGAAGCTCCTCTAGGGCAGTGACTGCATCACTTTTGTCTTTATATTCCTGAAATTTAGGAGAGTACCTGGAACATGGTAGTAGTCCCTGAATAAATGCTTGTCAATCAATTTGATTGATCTGTAGAATGGGGAAGGTTATTGTGTATCTCAAGTAGGTAAAATTGCTATACAATGTAAGCAGTTATTATTGAAGCATTAATGTGAAGCTTTATCATAAAGAATAATGCTCACTTCCTGATTTAACTAAAACATTGATGTGAAAATGCCATTTCTAGAATTGAGAAAAAAAATTGGCATCCTTTTCACTATGACACTGTAGGAAATGTTGAGTTAATTCTGGCAAATACAGTGGTGTCTAACAGTGTTTAGAAGAAGCTCATATGATAAAAACGTTGGCATGATCTGTTTTTATTCAGCTTCTATTTATTATTTGAGTACACTAACAAATTCTATATGCATGCTCTATAACCCTGGATTTTAGCCAAAAGTATAATATAGATTTCAGTACATGGTCTCTTTTTTTCCTATTTGTTTTTAGGATGGATGACGCTGAGGCTTGTTTCATCCTAAGTAGTCGGTGTGAAGTCGACCGGACATCATCAGTAAGTATAAAATTCTCCTTTAGAAACCCATGTTTCCTACTGGTTATACTTTTGTGCCTTACTGCCTCCTTAAGCATTTGTTATTTTTATTTTTTTCTCTTGTAATAAATGTTTATTGACCCTAATTGAAAATAATGTGGTTCTAAAATCTCTTCTCTGAAAAAGAAAGTTGCCAAGTTGACTGAGTCAGCCTGAGGGTTTTTGAAGTTCTTCCAACATCTCCCCACTGGTTCAGTGATTCTTGGTGAACAAAGTGAAGTGATAGATATACCAATTGTAGTGTTGCTATTTTATTTATTCATTGAATATCCAATATAGCATTTGTCTGTTAAGTGAAGTTGCTCAACAGCTTCCATGGTTTTATTGGTAAAAGGATAAGACTGGATTAGACAGTTTTTAACTTTTACCTCTAATATTCTGTGATCCTATTAAATTTACACATTAATGGCAGTGCATGTAGGTAATTAAGCAACTTTCCTTGTAGTACATTAATGCAATATTGTACAATGCAGTTCTAATTATCTTGGGAAAATGATTTGAATGATTGGCAGAGTTAGCCAAATGCCCATGCCTACCACACAATCTCAGTCTTGCACATGGCAGCCATTTAAATATTTATTAAATTGTTTGAATCAAAGGTATACACGCATTATGTGTGTGTATATACACAGAAATATATATATTATATACATACACATTTACATATGTATGTATATGTGTGTGTATGTGTGTTTGTAATTATTTCAGGGACTGTGTATAGTACACCATCTCTGTGTCACAGTTTTGGTGTAATTTTGATTTCATGGATTCTGATATTGCTATTTTATGTCCCCATCAGTCATTTCTCTAGTCATGTCTTTGTCTTGAGGGACAGTATTGTGAAGTAGAAACAGTGCTAAACCTGTAGTCAGGAAGACCTGGGTGTTTGCTAGGTGTATGAGTGTGAACAATTCACTTAACCTCTGTGTGCCTCTGTTTCCTTATTTGTAAAGTAGGGATAATAAATTAATAATAGCTCAAAGGGTTTTTGTGAGTGAGATAATATTCATAAAGTACGATATAACTGTTTGATATATACATTGAGAATAGTATTAGAATGGGGATAAATCTGCTTGGGGGGGATAGGGAATAGTGGCTGTTTTAGTGCTTTTATACTAACCGTGTCTGCCTTTTGTAGTGGATTGACCTGGTTTCCTGTTAAAGAAGTTACTGATTCCCTCTCATTAATTAATTCCCTTATTTCTTAGGAAGGGGATTGGGTTATAATACAAAGTTGATTCTGTAATTACTATTGCTACTAATTTATAGAAATTTTTTTTTGGTCTGTGTCTACTCAGTTTTGTTTCATAGAAAGTGATTATGATAGCATAACTCACTCGTTAATACAAGAAATCTATGCCAAGTGCCAAATCAAATTAGAGTACATATGGCAAGTAACTCAAAGTCAGTATACAATATTCAAAGACTTTATGTTTCTTGAAGCTATAGAGTACTTTCATTAATAATTTTGCATCTTGATCAATAATCCTCTCTACCTCCCTCCATCTCTTTCTCTCTTTCCCTCTGTCTCTGTCTCTCTTTATCTCTCTCTGTGTCTTTGCGTCTCATCTCTATGTCTCTGTGTGTCTGTCTCTCTGCCTCTCTCTCATTTCTCCCTCTCATTCAATAAAGCCAAATTATCTCATCTACATTATTAAATCCACTGTAGGACTCCTTCAGAGAGCAACATATTTTGCAAGTTACTTGCTTTTTTCCTAGAATGTAGAAAAGGAATAGCAATGTCCCATCACCACTGAATGCTCAACCAAGCAATTCCAAATATTTGTCCATTCTGAGTCCAACCAACAAGATACACAGAAGTATATTGGCCTTTGTAACACAAGAAAATCTGTGTCTTCTAAGATGCTTTCATTTTAGATTTACCTTTTTAATAAGGAATGCCTTCCTACATATATAACTATAAAAGAGAGAAGCATCGAAGAACATTTTGAATTTATTGTGTTGTTGCGGTATGTATGCCATGACGTGCCCTTTCAAAATGGAATTTTCACATATCCTGCATCCTATAAGATATTTGTGATATTTTTCTTGGTAATACCATAGTTGCCCAAGATTAGTACTTTTTTTCCTCTTAAATTAGATCTTTGGGCATTGTTTGGTTTAATGCTAGAACACTTAACCACTATGTACATATATGTGTGTATATATATATATGTATATACATATCTATCCTTATCTTCTCTACATATGTGTATATGTATATATATATATATTTATACTCATATATACCTATATCTTCTATTTGTGTGGATGTGTACATGTATGTATATATATATATTCACACATATATACCAATATCTTCTATATTTGTATATATTTATATTCATATACACCAATATATTCTATATTTATGGATACATATGTATATGTGTGTAGATACATACACATATTAAACTCATATATTGATAAATTTAATGTGTGTGGCTATGTACCAATCTATTCCATATGTGTATATATTTATACTAACATATACCTATATCTTCTATGTGTGATACACATCCATATATAAGCATGAATATATAGTGATATCTTCTTCATATGCATATATTTACACCTATATATACCTGTATTATATATTTACACATACACATAAATATGTACATATGTGTGCATTATGTGTATGTAAATATATATCAAAGTATAGAGAAATATATAATTCTCTGCAATTCATTGTCTTAGAGAATTCCCTTGGGATACTGAGAGATTAAGTGAGTTGCCCAGTATCACATAGTTAGTATGTGTCAGAGGTAGGTATCAGGTCTTTTCTCACTTAGACCCTCCCTCTACCCATACAATCCAAGCCTGTGATTTCATCCCTGTAAGGAATTTTCCGTGAGGAAACTTCCTCTAACAGTGCAAATTAGAACCTTCTCTGTAGTTTAAAGCCCTAGAGGTTTGCCTGACTACATTGAAAGATTAATTGACTCTGAGGCTGGCATACTACATCATGCTGCCTCTCCTAATAATAAGCAAAATTAATTAATTCATATTTCTTAAGCATCCTTATTAAGTTTTCCATATTATTTCAGTGAAAGTGAAGAGATGAAAAACTGAAGAGAGAAATATTATTCCAATGAAAATCACTGCCTTCCAACCAAATACCAGAGTAGTGATTAAGATTTTACTAACAGGTTATGCTTGCTTTAAAAAGCCAAAAATTATATGATTATGCTGAACCCTGTTCTTTTGAGCTTACTTTATACTATTCTCCTTTATGTACCCTGTACTTTAGCCAGATTGCATTAACCATTATCCCTTGAGTATGTTTGACACTTTCCAACATTTTGTTTAAATGATGTCTTTCATAGACTTATTGATGAGTGATTTAGTAGAATGGAAAGCTCTTTTCTTTCCCATTTCTGCATACAGAAATATAATTTATTCATTGAGTATAGAATAATCCTTTACTTTTATTATTCTGATAGAATTCATTTGAAGCTAATACTTCTTAATGAAATTCTCTCCCCCCAAAATCTGTTACTAAGCTATTCTAGTGCCTTATTAAGAGTTCCCATGTATACTTCTTCAGCTAAGTATAGCATTGGAAAATATTAATTGCACCCTCTTTTTGACAGATGCAATGCCTTATTTAAAAAAAAAAGCTGACAGTTATTTGATTGCTGACACTGCAAAATTTAATGAATCATTCTTTTTTGTTCTTCTAAAATAGCAGTGTTCCTAGAACCAGGAGAAATGCTTCCAACCCTAGAATTAGTTTCTGTACATTGCTCTTTTTTTTTGTTTGTTTTGTTCTGAATTAAATCAAACTGAAAAAAAATGAATAGGTAGTATAAAGACTCATGCCATGGAATTAATAAAATTTCATGAAAATGAATGCATTCATATGTTAAATCATCTCACAAGATGTCTTTATTAGAATGCTTACTTTTAGAAATTCGCTGTTAAATCATGGATATGAAAGAGGCACAGCAGCTGTTTTGGTGGTTTGATTGTTCTCCTGCTTGATAAAGGACTGGAATCTAATCAAAAATTAATATTCTGTGGTTGAAAAGCATTATTAAGGTCAAAACACTTTCTGATGATGTAGATAGAAGAATAGCTTGTTTCTGGGAGAATTTTAACTACAGAAAGCTAATGAAAAGGAAACAAATTTGTACATATACTTAGTCTCCTATATAAGCATTTTAAAAATTAATTAATTTTTTAATTTTCAGCATTCATTTTTATAAGATTTTTAGTTCCAATTTTTTTCTCCCTCATTCCACCCACCAAGATGGCAAGCAATCTCATGTAGGCTATACATGTACAATCATATTAAACATATTTCCACATTAGTCATGTTGTGAAAGAAGAATCAGAATAAAAGGAAAAAAAAAACCGAAGAAAGAAAAAAACAAATAAAGTGAAAATAGTATACTTTGATCTGCAGTTAGACTTAATAGTTCTTTCTCTGGATGTGGATAGCATTTTCCATTATTAGTCTTTTGGAATGTCTTAAATCATTGTAGTGCTGAGAAGAGCCAAGTCTATTAAAATTGACCATCACACGATGTTCCTGTTACCATGTACAATGTTCTCCTTATTCTTTTCACTTCACTATAAACATTTATTTTAAAAGACAGTACTGATATTTAAGTCAGAGGACAAATGAGATGATGAGGGCGAATAAAGCCTAACAGAATAATCCCTCTTTTAAAGCTTCATTTTGTTTGTCTTTAAGGTATAAAAGTAATAAAATGATAACAAAAACAAGGGGCTGGTGTGGATCCTCTTGTCATTCTATCAAAATGATCAAGTTTGCATTTGTGTGACTCATTTGCGGCTTTACTGTCTTTCCTCTCATATAGATCTTAGTGACATGTAGTGTATAAGCACCTTGAAAACAGGAACATTATGCAGCTTCCTGCAGGCCTTCCTATAGCTCAGAATAGTGTCTTATACATAGTAATTAAATAGTAAACTCCTACTAGGTTCAAAAA